TGAGTCTTCTCCCTCTGATGACTTTGAGCTAGTGGAAATTCCAAACATTGAAGTCAACGTTAGGGAAGAGCAACAGCAACAACTAAGTTTATTGGTTGATCCACTTAGTGACAGCGATTGTTATGGCATTGATTTATATATTCAGGCACGTAACTTTCTGCACTCACTGACTTAATACAAGAACTGTATGCAATACTCCCACTGGGTGTAAACTTACCCAATAAAGAAGGTATCACTAAATTGAGTAAACTGGTCTTAAAATGTAAATTTATCACCAGAGATGCTGATTGCTTAGTAAAAAGATATCCTGTGCATAGTATATGTTATGCATAATTTAAATAGTTAAGGTCAGCACACATGAGGGGACTAGTCTCTGCGACTAGTCCCTGCAACAAGTCGCGGGGACAAGTCCCATTGTCTGAACTGGCCATTTTTGCTTCAAAATCTAGTCGCAGTGACCATCTTTGGTCCCTGCAACTAGTCCCACGAATTCAAGCCAGTTTGAATTTTTGGGACCAGTCCCCTCATTGTGTGCTGACCTTAAAGCTAACTGAAAATTGCTTCAATAAGTAAACATGCAATGAAAGCAGTCATAGAAAGAGGATACAACAATCTATGATAACTCCTGGGATTGAAAACAAACTTATTACTTGACCCAACATCAACTTTATCTTTGTCTCCATGGTCAATATCTGTAACACAACGGTTTTTCACCAATGAAATACAGTCATTGGGTCAATAGCTGAACAAGAATAGGAAAATCTTCTATTACATGGCAATCAGGTATAAAAATACATGTATAATAGCCAAGATCAGAATCAAACTTCCAGCTGTGTCATCTCTTCTTGATTGACTTGAAATGTGAATAAAATTGTTATTATAATCATGAAATCATATTTTCTTTTTGTTTCAACTGGCAACAATATTTTTTTGGACTCAAAAAAACAACAACAACGCAAGGAGTGAACATTCAGTGGTACTCCTCACTTTGAATGCAACATGTTCCCCTAAGGTATGAATAATGCTCTTCAGTAAAACACAACTGAAAGTGCTTAGGAATATGTCAACAGGAATCAGATTTTCAGAATCTACCATATCCTACAGCTCCTGATAGTAACGAAAGATTGCATGCTGCCTTGAACTCCTCATAGCAACTATGTGAGATTGGTACTATCACTTTACGAAAACAACTGTCTGCCTCAAGAAGTTTCCTTCTGGTATCAGTCTGAAATGCAACTTCCAAATCCTCTTGTGGGTCAAGAACTGTTCTGCCAGTAATGAACATCACCCGTGAGTTACTTAGTGGGTATCCCGTGTTTTCATCTGCAAGGTTAACCCCCAAAACAAAGTGCATAAGAAAATTAATATTGAATCGTTGCCATGTCTCTCCAACCTTTATTTTTAGTCATTATGGCTTAAATACAGGCGTTTAGTATTTGATTGTAAAACTCCCTGAAGAAGTCTACGTTAGTTAGACGAAATGCGTAGGAGCAACAGCAACAGCAACAGTTCGCAGAGTGCTGCTCACTAGTCTAGTTTTAAAAATTTTAAAAATTGGCAAACCTGTAACTCCCTGCTGGCTCTCCAGGCTACGCCAGTAGAAAGTCGAACTTAAACAGAACTATATTACGGCTCTCCAGGCCGCTGGCTTTCCCGCCCGCACCAGTATAAGTGGTGTGGACTCAATGTTAAACTCATGTTAAACAGCTCCACAGGCTGCTGGCTCTCCGGGCCACACCGGCATAAGCTCATATTTTAACAAAATTATGAAGTGGCTCCCCAGGCCGCTGGCTCTCCGGGCCACACTGGCATAAGCTCATATTTTAACAAAATCATGAAGCGGCTCTCCAGGCCGCTGACCCTCTAGGCCACACTAGCATAAACTCATAGTCTAGAGTCACGGCTCTCCAGACCGCTGGCTCTTAAGGCCACGCTAGCATAGCTAATATTTTAACAAAATTATGTGACGGCTCTCCAGGCCGCAGGTAGCGCAGGCCACCGTACACTCATACTCTAATAGAACTATGATACGGCTCTACAGGCCGCGGGCTCTCTGGGCCACACTGGTATGAAACGTATATCGAGCAGAACTATGCAACGGCTCCCCAGGCCACAATGGGATAAACAAATATTTTAATTACAGAACTAAGCCACGGCGCCCCGGGGCGCAAGACCTTTTGTTTGCTCACAGCAGTTGGTTAAAGTTTCCAAAGGGTACGCCAAATAGGTCGCTGCATAAATGAAACAAAACAAATAAAAACACCTAACAGAAAAGGAGGCAATTAACTAAGCAAATGAGCGGCTAGACAAAAGGGGCGTGAAAACAACGCAAAAAAGAAAGGAGGTGATAGCGGCCAACTCCCATAGGTGCACAATTAGCAAGCTAATGAAACAAATCAACCGCAAACGAGCGAAAAAGCCTTTGCCTAAGAAACTTTGCATGCATAACAACTAAATAAACAGCCCCAAATAAAAGGGATATGGAAACGGAAAACAAAAA